TTCCAAGATTTTTTTTTTCTGTTGTCTTGACAACTTGACTATGTCAAGTGTTATAAAACAGGGATGACAATTGATTCTCATATATGGGTAATCTAAAGCATGTATTAATTCTATTTCTCTTGAACTGACAAAATTAAGAAATTTCCATACTTCCTCCTCTAAGTGTCTGCTAGCATAGTTTCTCCTTTCAGAAGAATAACTGAGAAAGAAAAAAAAGTCACTAGGGAAGGAATATTTACAGAAGGCAAGCCTGATACCTTACTTAGAAAATTACAGAAAATCCTGCATCATAAGTAATGTTAAAACCTTGACACTACGTATTAAAAAATTGTTATTCACTATTCTAACAGTCTCCCATTTGCCAATATATCTTATAGGAACTTCTGATCAAAAGACTTGTTAGTTGTTAAAAATATTCAGCCAAAGAGAGCTTTACTCTTACTTGAGAGAGAAAAAAAATTCCTGTAAGATATTTGTCTCCTCATGCTGTATTTACATTACTCGTGCTAGTCTACATTATATATTTTTAAAATGAAGCTTTATTTTGTTCTGGGGGCTGGAAAGGTTAACTAGTGGTAGCTTCCAAGTCTCAGATTTAGTGAAGAAAAGTGAAGAAATCCAGGCTCGGCTGATTCTTTTTTTTTTTTTTTTCTTCCCACCTGAGCAGATGTCTCACACCAGAAATTGAAAAGTAATATAGATAAGGAATGATTTTTTATTTAATTTGAAGTTACTTTTTTATTGTGTTTCTTGATCATATTTTCGTCTGTTGTATCTGTAATATCTTCAAGTCTGCATTTTTAGTTGTACTTAAATAGAATAAGTTTGACTTTTTAATTTTACAATGTGACATCAGGCTTTTTAACTGTGGAGTTTAAAATCTCTTGTTATCTGGAACCATTGATAGGAATTCTACAAAATTCAGATTGCTTTGGGATACATAACTTGAAAGATAAATGAATATTCTAGCTTCTCTGAAAATGTCTAGTATATAGAATTAATTGCTTTCTATGGCCCTACCTGACCTTGGTTAATGAGGTCAACAAAGGTCTTAGAGGAACCATGAACTTGAATTTGACTCTGGAGTCAGCGATGGTGACACAGGTCCCTTAGCTTAAATAGAAAACTTGTTTCCATGACTCTTGCTGACTCTTCTCAAACTAATTTTTCCTAATTTGTCTCATTAATGGCTCTTCCTCCATCAGCCTCTTTGATTAGGTTTTCTCAGTAATCAGTCCTAGGATCATTCTCTCGGGGACAGTCTTGACTATCTCCATGCCTTCAAATACCACCTGTAAGGAAATGACTCCCAAATCGTCATCCACATCTAGATGTCTCTCCTGACTTACAAGTCTCTCTGAGATCAGTCCTTTACTCCCCTTGTTTTTATTTTGTTTTGTTTTGTTTTTACCACAAACTGATGTTTCAAAGCTAATGCTGAGGAAGGTGGTACACTGAACATGAGGACTGGCATTCTTCTACATTGTTTTGGGTAAGATGAATTGTTTTGGGGGAGATGAAACATTTTGAAGGAGATTTGGCCTGTTTATCCAATTTTAAATGGGCATTTCCCTTAACTCAGAAATTTCACTTCTAGGAATTTACCTTAGGAAATTATCCTAAGGAAATAATTGGACATGTGAATCAAAATGTATTTACAGGAGTATTGCTATGTTGTTTGTAATATCAAAAAAGTGGATACCCCCTGAATTACAGGACATGTGCACAATGATATACAAGACAGCCACTGATAGTCATGCGTGCTTATTTACAGAGACATAGAGAGTTGCCTCTGATTAGATGCTAATAGAAAAAGGCAGGGTATAAAGTGTTATAGATGCTATGATCCAAATTTTATAAAAATATTTTATGTATATTTCATCATAAAAAATATGAAAAGTACAAAGGAATACTGAGTTATTTCTGGATGATAGGATGGGGTTACTGGTGATTTTCTCATTGTTCTTTATAATTTACTATCTGAATACATATACAGTAGGGATGTACTGCTTTTATAATCAGGAAAAACCATAAAGTTATTTTTATTTTGAAAAATGAGTGAATTATTGTTTTAAAGAATTAGGAGTTTGGGATTAGCAGATACACACTACTATATATAAAGTAGATAAACAACAAGGACCTACTGTATAGCTCAGGGAACTATATTCAATATCTTATAATAACGTATAATGGAAAAGAATCTGAAATAAAACCACTTTGCTGTACACCTGAAACTAACACAACATTGTAAATCAACTATACTTCAATTAAAAAATTGAAAATTAAAGAATGTCCATAGATACTTGTGGAAAAAATAAAAATAACCTCTCTATGCATTAAAATTGTTCAGATGAAGTGTACCCCAAACCCAGTTTTCTCTCGTGTGCTCTAGTTTATTCTACTCAACAAATGTTTATTGAGGCCCTAGGGTGTCCTTCCATTTTATCCAATTGATTATTGGCCATTTCCACCTGGATGTCCCACATGCTCCTGAAGTCAATATGTATAAAATGGAATTTCCCATAATGTCTTGAAATCTGTCTCTTCCTGTATTCCCAGTCTCAGCTAAGAGGATCCTCATCTACCCAAGTAGAATGTCCAGGAGTCAACATGAGGCCCCCACTTACCTAACCCACCACATTTAGTAATGTGCAAGTCCCGTGGCTTTACTATTCTTTACAATCCATCCTCTCTTCTCCATTTCCTGTTCAAAGGCCCTGGCTAAGCCCCTAATCCTTGCTTGGATTGCTGCAGTTGTCTCCCATACTGTTAGAACATTCAGTTTATAAAATCCTAAATGTTTTTGCTTAGACAGCTCCTTCTTCTCACTCCTCTTCTTTCTCCTACCATGTCTACAAGGAGAATGGCTGGTCAAGTCTCAAGACGTGGTTCAAATGTCACCTCTAACCTTTCTGTTGGAATTGGCTGGTCTTCTCCTTGTAGTCCTTGTTGGGAACTGCAATAGGTCTCTTATAATGATGGTAATGGCTAACATTGAGTTTTCATTGTAGGTCAACCACCATTCTAAATGTGTCACATGTTTTAACTCCAATACTTTCAACAACACTGTGAGGTAGGTACTATTATTATCTATATTTTATAGGTAATGAAACAGATTTAGAGAACTTAATTTGCCAAACATCACACAGTCAGCAAGTGGAAGAGCTAGGATTTGAACCTATATTGGCTCCAGAGCCTTCACCCTTAGCTCTGAGTGGTCATACATCTCTGTGCCCTTAATCTATATTTTATTATAGCATAATATTTTACTGTACTTCTTTTCCTATCAATATGTGTGGTTTCCAGGGAGATCAGCTCGGTGGTTTGTGACCACCTAGAGGGGTTGGATGGGGAGGGTGGGAGGGAGGGAGATGCAAGAGGGAAGAGATATGGGAACATATGTATATGTATAACTGATTCATTTTGTTGTAAAGCAGAAACTAACACACCATTGTAAAGCAATTATACTCCAATAAAGATGTTAAAAAAAAAAAAGAAGAAAGCAAGGAAGAAAAGAAGGAAAAACAAAAATATGTGTGGTTTCTTGCAGAGGCCACATAGACAACCTCAATAAAGGTGTGCACTAATTGACTAATTAATTAATCTTTCTGGGATGGAAAGTCTAAGCCAAAGAGAATTAACATTGTTTAGAATTTTTTTTGCTTATTTTTGTTGCTTACTTTGTTTATATCTGGAGGGACTCTGAGGTCCTTTTAATTTTGAAATACAATAGTGTATTATTTGCTCAATGGGCTAGATCTTGCCTAGTGATGAACACATAGAGGAGAATCAATTGAATCAGCTCTTGCCCTGTGAATGTCATGGTACTTGACTGAGAAACGGTGGAGATGATCTTTGTGGAAAATATAATCCTCTTAGAAAAATGGTAAAAATTGACTAACTTTATTGGAGAAAGACTGAAAAATCTCATTCAAGGCATTGTGTAAATATGGTAAAAATGAATCTCTTAGTGGATATTTGGAAGAAAACTATAAAACCACTTAGCAAATGTTGATCATTTCAGAGTTCTATACATATTAAAGATACCCAGGTTAAACAGATCTTAGAGGGTCCAATACACAACCTGTCATTCCTATCATCTAGGTATCTTTTATTTATTTTTATATGTATTTTTGTTGTTTATTTTATTTATTTTTTATTTTTGAGTTGAAGTATAGTAGATGTACAATATTACATAAGTTACAGGTGAACGACATAGTGATTCACAATTTTTAAGGGTTATATTCCATTTATAGTTACTACAAAATACTGGCTATATTCTCTGTGTTATACAGTACATCTCTGTAGCTTATATATTTTATATATAATAGTTTGTACCTATTAATCCCCTACCCCTATCTTTCCCCTCCCCTTTAGATGTCTTTTTTTTTTTTCTAGATATCTTTTAAATCCTTCTTTCCTTTGAGTTCCTACCTCCTGAATGCAGGCCTGGTGTAGCCTACTCACTGGTCTTTTCCTCCTCTTGTGCTGCCTGTACACTGCTCACAATCTTTGTGAAACCCGTTTGTGATCAAGTCACCCCCCTTGTTCAAAACTCTGATGTCTACTTGTTGTCTCAGGGGTAAAGTTCACATTCTGTTGCCAGGTCCCCACAGTGGGTGCCATCCTGTCTTACGAGCCCTTGCCTCTACCTCTTGATTAAAAGAGTCACAAGTCCACCATATGAAAAGGACTGCCATTCCCTAGACATAATATGTGTTCTCTGCCTGGAATATCATTTGCTCTCACTAGTTTCAAGATCCAGCTTCTTTAATCTCTCTATGCCTTCAAAGAATTGCCTTCGTTAAGTGATGCGCTTTCTCTTTTAAATTCCTGTAACGCTGACATACATTTTAATACATGTACCATAATTACCTGTTCACTCGATCCATTTCCCTCCTTACACTATAACTTGAGGTTGGCGCCAATTTTATTTTTTATTTTTGTCTTAGAGTCTTGTAGACTAGTGCTTCTCAAACTTGAATGTACATACAAATTACCTGGAGATCTTGTAAAATGCAGATTCTGATTCAGCAATTCTTAAGTGAGGGCTGAGTAAGCATTTCTAACAACCTCCCGAAAGGATATCAGTGTTGTCGACCTGTGGATCACACAAGGGAACATATTTTGGGCAGTTAATTTTTTGAATGAATGAATCAAAATGAAAAAAAAACCCCAATGAAACATATTGTCAAACTGTGTTCTGCTTTATTTTTAACTCTTTTTTTTTAAAAAAAAAAAACAAGTGATTAACATTTTCATTCAGTCTGTGTCACTCTAGTGATCATTATATTTTTATAACTTTAACATTTCCTCACATTTTAATATTATTAAAATTTTTCTTCATTGTTTTTCCTTTTTTAGAATTAAATTTTGTTTCAACCAGGACTGATATTACACAAATCTATTACTACAGTGAGGCAAAATTAAAATCTTGAAACAGAATTCTTTTAAAAAAAGCATTTTGTTGTACATACCATAGACATTATTTTAATCATAACCAATACTGCATAGAATTTCAATGGGGTAAAATATATCTTCAGAAGTTAATCAGTATATATAGGTGATTCACTCATAATGTTCTCTGTCATGTTTCTGAACAAGTGTTTGTTTTTTTTTTAAAGTATTCAGTTAAACTTTAAAGAGGATGCTTGCTTTTTCATAGTCACTTCCTGTTCTGATTAAATACAGGTGTGCCACACAAAGCAATCAGCTTACTACAACTGGGCTAATTTGTGCCCAAACTTAGTTTCTCCACATTCTTTTCCTCTATAATTAAGAAAAGATGAAATTCAGTACTTCATAGCTGGAAAGGGCCCATGGACATTTTCCACAAATGTTGAATATTTTACTCACTGTCAACATCTCTACCTTGGAAAACAAATCAAAATGCTCAGATGCATCAACTACATCATCAGAAATTCAGATCAATTGCCAAGCAATTACTGGGAACATCTGGTTATTTTGATGATCATAATGGCCAAATCAGTTAACTCTGATACAACCCAACTAGAATCACAAATCTGATTCAATAACAATAGCGACAAAAGACTGATTGAAGGGCTTCCCTGGTGGTGCAGTGGTTGAGAGTCCGCCTGCCGATGCAGGGGACACGGGTTTGTGCCCCGGTGTGGGAAGATCCCACATGCCGCGGAGCGGCTAGGCCCGTGAGCCATGGCCGCTGAGCCTGCGCGTCCGGAGCCTGTGCTCCATAACGGGAGAGGCCACAGCAGTGGGAGGCCCACGTACGGCAAAAAAAAAGAAAAAAAAAAAAAGACTGATTGAAGATAACTGGTAGGTATCACTGGGTGGCATCAGGTTTACTTTCATTATATTGCTTAAGAACATTGATAAACAGACTTTCTAAGTTTCATTGGAAAATCTACAGCAGTAAGGACCCTTCTAGCTCTGAACCCCTATGCTCAACAAGTAATGTTATTTTCTCTCCTATAAGGATTCAGTTTCCTACTTAGTTGTCATACCCTGCTTTTGTTCCAACTTATGGCTACTTTTCATTCCAAACATGTGAAATCTTTCATCCTAAGGAGACATGCGTTATGTATTTGTTTTAGCGTACTTCAGGGAGCAAAGCAAATGTGCATTGAAGATTCAATTAGCAGTAGTGAGGGTGGTGATTAAAGAGCTAGACTTGTCTGGCTGATTCATTTGGTCTCTTTTCATTTCATTTTTTGGGACTAAATGTAGCTTGAAATAAAGTTTTATTTTAAATTAGTGTTCAATGTACACAGCCAAGAAAGACTGTTTTTTTTTTCCCCCAAACACATTCCCTTTTGTGCACAGAGAAATTCATGATCAGCTTTCCACTATGTGCAAATTTCTCAAGTCATTTGAAAGAACTGCTAAGCTAGAATGTAGAAAGATCTGCTGCATTACTAGAAGATCACCTTTCACCTTGTCACTTTAAGATCACAAACCAGTGATGTGTGGATTGGGTCAGTGTTTAGAAACTTCTAAATTAGTTGACAACATCAAAGGAATTCCCTGGCGGTCCAGTGGTTAGGACTCCTCACTTCCACTGCAGGGGGCACGGGTTCGACCCCTGGTTGGGGAACTAAGATCCCACCTGCCATGTGGTGAGGCCAAAAAAAAAGAACCCAAGAGGCATCACATAATCTAGATTTCTGGCTTCAAGTGGCAAAGGTTGTGTTATGTCTGATCCTTTTTCACTGGGCATGTGTTCTCCAGTTTGCACAGTTCCTACCTGATAACTGCCACTCATTTATGTGGCCTGCTTGATACCTAGAGGCATCTCCTGCTCTCAAGTTTTTGGTTGTGCAAATCTTCATGACTGCACACAGCAACATGGAGATGAGGGGTAGAGTACAGAGTGGGACTTACCCACCCAGGTTTAGACAGAGGCTAGGGGAACTTACTCTAAGAGGCAGCAATGTAGGTAAGACTGAGGTCTAATGCACATCAGTAGTCATCCATCAAGAGAAGGGGCAGCAAAAATAGTGCGGCAGGGCTCCAGCAGGTAAGGAGGGGAATTGTGGTGGGGAACCAACCTTTGAGAGGATTTTTAAGGACTAGCAAGGAACTTTCCTACAAGAAAGGGGTTCAGGACCTCATTCCCAGGGAGGATAGACAGAATGAAACAGAGACCCAATGCTGAGAAAGGAAGCAGGCTCGTGACAATGAGAATGTAGGACTCGGTTCTTTTGGGAAAGCAATGGGGCAGATCAGTGGCTAATGACAGGACAACCTGATATGCTGAGTTTCAGTGATTGGCAGGCTGAGGCTGTTGGCTCCCTCTCTCATTCAAGAATAGGGTCAGAACCAGAGCTGGATACAGCCAAAAAATGGGAGAAGTCCTTGAATCTGACTTTGAGGACCTGGGAAACAGATGCAGAGCAATTACAGCAGTTCTGGGTCACGTGTGTTGCTGAAAGCAGGGTGGAGACTTCTTGATCTCATGTTTCTGTTAGTCTGCAACTCTTCTGTTTAGTTAGCATAAAGTCTGAAAGTCTATTATTTAAAAAAAAAGTTCATGGTGGAAATCTCTGCAAACATTTTATAGCAAGAGTAAGAGAATATAAAGAATATCTCCCTTTGTCCACCAATGTCTATTCAGCCTGTATTAGCTGAAGTCACATTGAGCAACCACTCATATATAAATGGATATTAGAATTTGAAGCCCATAGTTCTTGCCTTAACCCCCAACTTGGTCTTCCCCATGAGAGAAATGACCCTTTGCCTCTTGAACATCTGACGGTTAACTAGCCAGGAAAGGGGTATCTGCTTAGGCAGAGGGAGAGATTAGATGGGGGATAATAAACATGCAGCTCTTGACTCTTATACCTCTGATAGGCATCCCTAATTGATTACAGCACTCTTTCCTACTGAGCTCAGATGAGGACTCAGAATCTCTCCCCATACGGTGCTCTAGAAGCCAATCAATTAGGGTTGACACTGGAATGCAATGCATCTGCCCTTCTTTGATTAGGTTTTTACTGCCAAGTTTCTGTGGACGAAGCTACTGATTGGGGCAGAGTATCCATGCCCAGGTTGAAAGCAAGCAAATTGACAGCCAGGGAAGTTTATATCAGAATAAAAAATGTTAAGATATTAATTTGTATTTATCCCTCTTTCTCTCCCCGTCTCTTCTATGTAGATAGGCAAATCCCTTATATTTCCTTGCCTGTGGGATTATTGCTGGGCAAAAAGTGTAAAATACAACAGCACCTCCTGTCTTTTGTAAAAGCTTAAACTGAAGGAAAAGATTCTTTGCTCCGTGTTCCAAAAAGAAAAGAGGAAGGAGTCACTTAGGCTCATTTGATTGATAGTCCTGTAGGAATGTGGGTAGAAGGAGTATATAAATAAACAACCTGTATAAATCAGGGTCCCAGAAGGAAGGAGATGATGCCTTCAAATTAGGAGAGCGTAAGCCACAAGGAAGAGGGAAGTATCCCGAGTCTAATAACAACAGAGCTGTTATAACCAATTGGCCCAAAGTAATAAGGGCAGGGAGTGGCAGAGCAGGAAGGAGAGGACAGTGTAGCCAGACTGATCTAGACAGCGGCAGTGATCTCTGGTGCAGGGACAAACTAGCCCTAGGAAGCCACATGGGGACAGAGCCAGGAAGGTAAATAGTCCTATCTTACCCCCTCTTCTCCCTCCTCTTTCCTGCTGGGGCTCCCTGTGGCCAAAACAGATCAGAAACCAAAGGGCAAGGGAGCTTGTTGTTGCCCAGGTAGGTCAGCAGGTTGCAAGGTGGAAAAGGGTGACGTGGGAATCCAAAGAGCAAATGGAATATGTCTGTCACTACCCAAACCATTTCCTTTCAACCTACACTCCTGCCTTAACCTCAGGGTAAAGATTTCGTGTTGATCACAAAGGACAAGTGAAGTCACTGTATCATCAAGGGATGCTATAAATTCAGCTGTACTTCTACCTGAAACCTAAAACATTAGCCACTGTAAGTGTTCTAATATGATACTGGAGGAAAATGGGGGATCAAAATAAGTAACAAATATAGCTGCTATACCCACTAGTTTGGTGGTTGGTTTGTGGTCTATTTGGGAATCATATATTTGTTGTTTTCTACTGTCCTTTCCCCTTACTCTTGCCAGAACTTCAGCTGGATAGATTTCTCTACTTGAGGAGGTGACTCAAACCTCAATCTCTTTAATATCTGAGCTCTTTATGTTTCTTTTTTCTTTATTTTGTTGTCACAGTACTTCACTAATGAGACCTATTGGACAAGGGAGTCGTAGAAAGTACCCCGTTGAATGCCCTGGGTGTGGACACATCCTGATGAATAGCAGTGACTCATTTCCCCCTGATAATAAGTACATTATGTAAATCTGACAGTACAGTCTTGCTCTTCTCTGATTGTTGGTTCAGCATTACGAGAAGCTCAAGCGATCAGCTTCTAATTAATTGCCACCATGTCCGTATTTCCTGGTGGAAGCATTCCTTCCTTGGCCACTGGGATCTCCAGCCCACCAAGTCCAAGGTCTCAGGAACAGGAAGCAAAAATTCTTCAAGTTATTAGATGTTAAAGTGAGAGGGTCTTTCCCATCTGGCTATGGAGGAGACAGTGCCATGTTTCGGCCATTCATTTAAGTCATATACTGCATCCTGCAGGACAGCTTCCCAACCTTAAAAGGGTTGTCTCCCTGTTAACATTGTAACAGAGACTTCAGCAGGGCATTCCACTTTTAGTTCTATGGAGCAAGCTGCTTCTGAATGCTAGTGTACATAAAAAGACAATGTGTCCTGTTTTCCATCACTGCATTTCCTTTTCTATAAAATATGTTTCCTGGATGGAAGTGATGTTGTATGGTGACATATGGCAATGAGTAACTGATTATGTTAACCCACAGATGGTAATGGTAAAAGGATTTTAAGGAGTATCCAGTGAATGTGTCGGAGAAATATTCCAAAATATAGCATGTGTGACCTCCAAAATCTAACACTAAGTTCAGCACGTTGTCTGTAACATAGAAATTTCAGCATTTCACAGAACAATATATTTCTAGAAACTTTATCCTCATGGCAGGGCCCTAAAGTTTCTTGAAGTTTATCTCCCATCTTTCTGCATTCATATGGTTTTTACTAAGGCATCTAGAGTGCTTGATACTTTTTGTTCATCAGATCCAGTTAGCATCATCTGATCTATATAAACAGCCACCATGATGCTCTGTGATGTACTGGAACGAGCAAGGTTCCTCTGTATCATATTAGGGAAGAGAATGAGCGAATTTACACAAGACATGAGACACTATAGAAAAGTTTTACACCACCATGGAATAATACCATAAGGGTAAATTGTTGTTTCTGCTATATGAATACAAACTCTTTTTGTTTGGTGCAGGAATAAAGTTTTTTGTCAGGTCATTAACTACATACCATGTAGCAAGGGCTGTATGAATTTTCTCCAATAAAGAGACCACATCCGCAACTACTGCTTTGATTGGCCTTATTACCAGAATAAGCTTGTAGTAATTATCTGTCATTTCCACAACCCATCTTGCTTTTGCACCAGTAATGTGGGCAAATCAAAAGATTTAAGGGAAGAATCACCACCTCTAAATCTCTCAAGTCCTTGATGGATGTGCTAGTCTCTGCCTCTCTACCAGGGATGAAGTTCTGCTTTTGGTTTGCTACCTCAGCAGAAGGGCAGTAGCTTCCATTTGGTTCTTCCGACTACAATGGCCCTCACTCCATGGGTCAGAAAACCAGTGGGGACCGTGTATCTGTTACTAAATAATCTATTGCCGCTATTCATTCTGAGTCTGCAGTCCCAACAGGATTGAGCTAAGACTTCATCTATCCCTTGGTGTCTATGACCCCCTACTCTGAAGGTAGACCACCATAGCGTTTATGTTTCTGAGCATAAGTCCAGAACCAACTGCTAATAATCTCTGGAAAGTCTTTATATTTCCCTTTCCCAGTTCACAATAACTCTGTTCAATGGCCATTGGTTCCTCTGGGTGGAACTGGTGACTCATGTTAGGTTTCTTTCCACCAAACCCCCAACTTTTCCTCCTATATATGTCAAGCATCATCTCTTTCATTGCTTGAGATTCCATAATCAGTACACTATTAATGCATATTCCTGAGAATCAAAACACTCTGATTCCAAAATAGTGTCATTGGTAAGTTACATTAAAATGTTTAAGGAATACATAGTACCAATCTTATATAAATCCTTCTAGAGAATTGAGAAAGAGTATAGACACTCCAATTCATGTTACAAAGCTAGAATAATTTTAATTCTAAAAACCAAAAAGACAGTATGATAAAGAAAAAAGACAGGCTGATATTATCATGGATGCATTTGCAAAATTCCTAAACAAAGTATTAATAGACCAAATATAGCAATGCACAACTGGATTGATATTATATGACTAAGTTGAAATTATCCTAAGATTGTTAGTTTGCTTTAGTATTTGAAAATCAATAAATGTAATTCACTATAATTGAATACAAAGAAAACCATATGATCAATCCAATAGACACAGAAAAAGTACTTTATAAAATTCAAAATTTTTTGTGATAAAGAATAGATATGTGAAAATAACTAAAAAATATTTTGAGCTAATGGCTCACTATAATGAACTTAGTGAGGAATGAATGATCTTTTCAATTATTTGTGTCAGGTAAATCACGTATCTATGTTCAAAAAGTGAGCCTTGACTTCTACCTTTCACCACAGAGAGTAACTTTTTGTTATGGAGCATAAATCATGACCTAAAACAATTAAACTTGTAGGAGTGAACAGAGGGAAATATTTTTATGATATTGGGATAGGCAAGAATTTTTTTAAAAAGGATACCAAATGTCCCGATCACAAAAGAAAATATTTATAAACTAGACTTTATTTTTAAAAGACACTATTAATAGAGTGAAATGACAATTCCCAAGAGAAGATATTTGTAATATATAAATCCAAAGTAGGACCCATATCCAGAATATATTTTTAAAAACTTCTACAAATCAATTATAAAAAGTTAGACTCTAAAAATGGGTAAAATACTTGAATAGCATTTCACAAACTAGGATATCCAAATGCCCCCCTAAAATATATTACATATCACTGATACAATATAATCAGTCATTATAAAAAGTGGAAATTGAAACCACAATGTGATATTGCCACACCCCCATCATATAGGCTAACATTAAAAAGCTGATGATACCCAGTTTGGTGAGGATGTAAACAACAAGAACTCTCTTATACTATCAATGGGAGTGTTCAGTTGTTACAACCACTTTACAAAACTGTTTTTTGACATTTAGCAAGGCTAAACACATGCTTACTTTATGACCTAGCAGCCCTACCCCTAGGTATATATCAAATGAATGCTTGTGTTCACCAAAAGACGTGTTCAAGAAGGACCACAGCAGTTTTATTCATAATTGTCCAAAATTGGAAACAACCAAATTAGCCATTAAAACTAGAATGAAATGAATTGTGTTGTATTCATACAATGCAGTTACACACAGCAATGGAAAAAGACAACCCAAACTACATATACACACGATAATATGGATGACCCTCACTGACATAATGTTGAATATAAAAAATCAGAGACAAATGATTTCATTTATGATCCAGTTTATGAGTCCTCCATCCAGCCAAAATGATGGTGATAGAAACCATAATAGTCATTACCTTTGGGGGTGGGATCCTGAGCAGGAAACAGGAGGGGGGGCGTGAGGGAGCCTCTATCTGTAAAGATATAGAATAGAAATATTCTATGTCATTATTTGCCTGGTGGTTATATTTAAGAATTCATCAAGCTCTGCACTTAAGATTTATAAACTTGGCTGTAAATCTTATTTGTGAATTTAACTGAAGTTCTAACTTAATTTTGAAGGTTATTTCAAATGTGGAGGGAGAGGACAGTTGGAAGTCCTGGTAGTAGGAGCTTTGACTGGATTCATGGACACTAACACAGGGTCAGCCATGTTGTGATACTGCAATTCACCTGCCTGACAGTTCTGTTCCTTATTAGAACTATGTGGATAACAAAAGCATCATAGCTGGATTCTCCCTATCCTGCTTCTTTTGTTAGTCACACAGCAACTAAATGGTGAAACCAAGATTTGAGCCCACCCAGTCTGGCTCCAGAATCTGCCCAGGAACACACACTAAGGTTGTTTTTCAGACCTCTGCATAATGAGGTTGTATCAATGTACTATTTGTAATTTTCTGACTATATAACTGCTTTTATTAATTCCGATGAATTAATTCCTAAATATGATTACATGATATAATTCACTTCTTTGAGTTTTCTTTATAAAGCCGTACATTAATGAAGTCACTTCAGGTGTTAATAAAAAGAAATGTCACTTGAATTGTGAGGTCTGGTCCAAAATTTGCAATCATGTAGTCAAAATTAGGCAGATCAAGTAAGCCATCATTTCTTTTTTTGGAGAAGCATATAGTCTCATGCTGAGAGGTAGGAGATAACTATTCTCTGTTAAAGTTTTCTGGGCAATAAACCATTCAAACTACACTGCTTCTGAAGTATTTGTCTTCCCTAGGAAGAAGAGGTGTTTTTTTTTTTTGTTTTCTCTCTCAATCTCTCTTTTTTCCTTTTTCTTTATTAAAGTATAATTGATTTACAATGTTGTGTTAATTTCTTCTCACAGAAAAGTGATTTTTTATATTCTTTTCCATTATGGTTCATCACAGGACACTGAATATAGTTCATTGTGCTATACAGTAGGACCTTGTTACCCATCCATTCCATACATACTAGTTTGCATCTACTAACCCCAAACTCCTTCCTCCACACCTCTCCCCCTTGACAACCACAAATCTGTTCTCTATGTCTGTGAGTCTGTTTCTGTTTTGTAGATATGTTCATTTGTGTTATATTTTAGATTCCACGTATAAGTAATTTCATATGGTATTTGTCTTTCTCTTTCTGACTTACTTCACTTAGTATTATAATCTCTAAGTCCATCCATGTTGCTGCAAGTGGCATTATTTCATTCTTTTATATTGCTGTGTAGTATTCCATTGTATATATGTATCACATCTTCTTTATCGATTCATCTGTTGATAGACATTTAGGTAGTTTCCATGTCTTGGCTACTGTGAATAGTGCTGCTATGAACATAGAGTTGCATGTATCTTTTTGAAGTATAGTTTTGTCCAGATATATGCTCAGGAGTGGGATTTCTGGATTATATGGCAACTCTAGTTTTAGGTTTTTGAGGAACCTCCATACTGTTTTCCATAGTTGCTGCACCAACTTACATTCCCACCCACAGCGTAGGAGGGTTCCCTTTTCTCCACACCCTCTCCAGCATTTATTGTTGGTAGATTTTTTTAATGATAGCCATTCTGATAGATGTGAGGTGGTACCTCATTGTAGTTTTGATTTGCATTTTTCTAATAGTGATGCTGAGCATCTTTTCATGTACCTGTTGGCCATCTCTATGTCTTCTTTGGAGAAATGTCTATTTAGGTCTTCTGTCCATTTTTGGATTGCATTGTTTGTTTTTTTGTTGTTGAGTTGTATGGGCTGTTTGTATATTCTCTCTTGAGCACCAGCACAACAATCGCAAGAGTTTCCCCCAAGCTGAAAAAAGAAATAACAAAAACTCAATTTACTAATTGCCTGTTCATGCAAATTTTCAAATACCAAATATATTCCCATTTTGATATGTTCAGAGTAACCCTCTTCTCTTCTTACCAGATTCTCTTCAATTTTGGTTGCTCTGGGCCAATGATACCATCCGGTGCCTGGAGCAGGGAACTGTTCTCATTAGTGTATTTTCTCTACCACCTTCTTCCTTACTCTCCAAGAAGAGGGTACCCAGATGAAGAAGCACTGGTTTCCTTTGTCTTTTACAATCTGAAACAGTACCAGTTCAGCTGATCCATTTCCAATCATATTTTATTTTTACTCAACCCACGACTACTGGGTCTCAGGAATGTGTGAGCACAGCAACCCATTCCTACCTTTACCTTGCTCTCTATCTTTCAAATTTTACATGGTTACTTTTAAAAAAATGGGTCCATCTAAGGTTAAGATCAGAAGTTAATAGGCTTTCTGACTGTCACACAGAAGCAGAACCTCAGCTGAAACAGTAGTATGCATTGTTTAGAACTGCCCTGATGGACAACTTGGAGAACTTGAGGTCAAATATAGACCAACAAAAATCAATGGTTTTTATTTTCAGTCATCTGAACTTTCCTGGGGAATTTCCTGGAGAATCCCTTCAAATAGCAAGTAAGTAAATGTACTTCTGTTTTATGTGTTTATTAGTTAGGGTTTCCTAAAATGTGGGTTCATTTGATCTGTACAACATCTCTTTCTCCCTTTTAATGTTTCTGTATTAGGTCCCCTCTCTTGGCCTGTGAAGCAGATCGTCTCTGTCAGTTGAATTATACCAGACGTTTGAATTTTCCCCACAAGCATAACTATGCTCCAGTTGCTTTTTTCTATAGGCAAGAATAATATACCCAGCATCTTTATGCTTGCAAATGATACACCAGATGGATGCTAAAGCAGAAATGATATGTAGATACCTAATTATTACACAAATGACTCACAAGATATAGAGTCAACTGAAATTATCTCCTGTGGTTTTGGTAAATTTATCAAAGTAAGAGCATTAGCTTATTGCTTTGTCTACTATTCTCTTTTTTACTTCATTTGAACATGATTTGGTGAGTTTGAGGAAAATGGACTTCAGACTACTTGAGTTTTGGCCTGCATACATTAATTCATTCAGTTAACCATTGAATGAATACCTACTATTGTTATGTACCAGGGACATAAAGTTAATGACGTATGGTTTTTCCATGGGCTCAATGGGAGAGAGAGACTCTGAGTAGGTAATTTTAAAAATATAATTTGTTTAAACATGTAAGTATGGATAAACAATTTTATGAAAATATAGAAAAGGAAGAGTTTAACTCTACCCAGGAAGGTCAGGGAAGACCTTATAGGAGCCGACATATATATTTAGTTGGAACTATCTATGTGGAGAGGAAAGGCAACAGGTTCTAAGGAGAGGATGTGTCCTAACTAAAGAAGATTAAATCCTTGATCATCTGAGATCCTTTTTCAGCACACACACACAAATACTGTAAATATGTTGACTATTATTGATGAAGTGGAATTATAGCAAGAGCTACCTAAAGTAAATTCTTTAATTTACTAAGATTAAGAATTTAGTGTTCTACTTAAGAGAATCAGAATCATGCTTTGGGGAAAGCTTCGAAAGCAAAATGAAGAAGAGAAGTAAGTCAAGTGAGCAATTGCTCAAGACTGAAAAGTCTCCAGGAGAGAGCAAATCTGAAGACATGTACACTTTAGTATGGCAGGGATGTCGCCCCTGGTTTGTTTCTTAGACCTGTGATAAATGGCCCTTTACCCACAGCTTGTTAAAACAGTGGCACTGAGCAGGCATAACTCCATACATGCCAACATCCTTCCAGGATCAGGAATTGGTTTCATCCACCCTGTTTGAGGGCATGCAGATTTTAGCATACCTTTAATGCCATATCGCATCAATAGCTTTTTCTGAATTTGTGTGGATCTCAGGTTTCCTCCCAGGTCCTGGACTACTAGATTCTTTACTTTTCTCCATGGGCCTGACACTAAAAAGGCATCTCCTCTAACATCCCCAGTAGTGGGGGACACTCCCTGCTTTATTCCCACCACACCCACCAACTCCACGGCTGCTTTCTCCCGTGTACCAAGATGGTACTCAGAGTATTGGATGGGCAATGCTTTGTCCCTGATGCTTGGTACTGCACAAATGTATTAGGTCTTCAAATTGATCTCCATAACACAGTGATGGCACTGCATAGAAGCCATCCACACCTTACCCCTCCTGACACCCTGGCATTATTCTTAGCTTCAGGACCAATCTGCTGGGCTTGAACCCCTTGAAACACAATTTTCATTTTCTCCTATTCCTTCTGGCTTCCTGCTCATGGTCCTGCTGCTCTGCCCTGTTTTGTTTCTTTGCTTACCCTGTTCCCATGCTACTTTAACCTCCCACTTTAGGCAACTCATCCAACTACGACTGATCCTTGTGACTATACACTGGGTATAGACCACTTTGGTGGGGACCCCTCAATAGGATTTGCTTTGGTTCTGGTTGCAAAGACCTGCTACATATAAGATGATGATAAAAATAAGGTTTCTGCGTGAGAGGCTTTCTGTACATTATCACATTTAATATTCACAACGTCCTTTAGGTTATCCATAATCTTCCTGACTTTTTACACAAAGAATCTGCAGTTCAGAGAGTAAAATGCTCTGCTTGAGGTCCCATAGTGAGTATGTAGAAGCCCAGGTTTGTCTCATTCCAAAGCCCCTCCTATGAATCATTAAATACCCTACATCCCTGTGTACATAGATAGATGAGGTTTTGAATTATTGACCTCAACCCTAAAGGCCGCAGCTATATCCATCACTTTTCTAGCATTTCTGTTCTTTCTCATCAGTCAATTGCCCCTGTGTGTGGGTAGGTCTTCAGCCTGCCCCAAAACGTTGCTCAGATGCATGCTGGCAGTGTATACAAACCCCTCCAGGGACTAATTTTGCAAGAAACATCTCAAGGCAACAAGGAGTGAGGTATCTAGTGGAAGCATGTTCTAGCAGGGAAAGGAGAAGATAAAAAAGCAGTCAGATTCTCAGGGGGAAATTCTATGATTCCTGTTATGAAGGTACCTTTTTAAATGAAAAATTCAAGGTGCAGAACAAGTGTACTTTTGCCTCTTCTCATGTATAAAACACACACACATTTTTTAGGTAATAGAACAGTTAGCTAAAAACTAATAAAAATCATTATTCATGATGGAAGTAGGAAAAATGGACAGGACTATTCTTTGTTTTATGGTTTTGACTTTGGAACCATGGAAATGTTCTATGTTACTATAAGTAAAAAAGGAAAAATAGTCACAATATCTGGAATTATAAAGCAAAATTAAACACATAAACATAATTATGTATGAAGTTGACAGTGTAACAACATGGAGAAAAATTAGTACCAATGACTTCTAAACACAGTAACTTGAGTAATTAGACTATATGTCTCTAATAAAATAATCCTAAGAACATAAGAAACCACTAAGAAATCTTAAACTACTTTCAGCAATAATGTTGGTATTAGAATTTGGGAAATATTAGATACCTATTCCAGAATAAAATTAAATAGATATTTAATACAGTTAGGGGGAAACAGTCTGAGCAAAACAAATGAACAAAAAACAAAAACAAAAAAAGACATATAAAATCAAAAAAGTTAGGTAAAATGTTATAATCTTTCATTTGAATTGGTAGCATCAAGTGAACTTAGATTTTTTTTCTTTCTATAAAAACATGTATTTCCTAGCTTTGTTTGTGAAAAAAAGATCTAGAAGTAGAAACAGCCCAATAGCAATTACAACATTAGCATCTAAATAGTTGCTCTAAATACTATTTCTCACAAAAAGGAATCAGGGTCCCTCAGAAAAATGGCTCATTTCCTTTCTGGGGCAGAAATTCGACAAGGAGAGCCAGGAACACCTTGTTGTGCAAGAGAAACTACTGAAATTATAGTAGAAAGCCACTGGAGCCAATTTGAATGGGGTCCCAATGGCCAAAGATGTCACAAATTAAGCATCAAAAACAATAATGAGCTTGAAGGATTAAAATATATCAATTATCAAGATGACTGAGTAGAAGGAGGTGCTCTCACTCCCTCTTGCGAGAGCACCAGAATCACAACTAACTGCTGAACAATCATCAAAAGGAAAACACTGGAACTCACCCAAAAAGATACCCCACATCCAAAGACAAAGGAGAAGCCACACTGAGATTGTAGGAGGGGTGCAATCACAGTAAAATCAAATCCCATAACTCCTGGGTGGGTGACTCACAAATTGGAGAACACTTATACCACAGAAGTCCACCCACTGGAGTGAAGGTTCTGAGCCTCACGTCAGGCTTCCCAATTTGGGGGTCCGGCAACAGGAGAAGGAATTCCTAGAGAATCAGACTTTGAAGGCTAGTGGGATTTGATTGCAGGACAGGATGGGGGGAAATAGAGACTGCACTTGTGGAGGGCACACACAAAGCTGTGTGTGCATCAGGACCCAGGGGAAGGAGCAGTGACCCCATAGGAGACTGAACCAGACCTACCTGCTAGTGTTGGAGGGTCTCCTGCAGAGGCAGGGGGTGGCTGTGGCTTAGTGTGAGGACAATGACACTGGCAGGAGAAGTTCTGGGAAGTACTCCTTGGTGTGAGCCCTCCCAGAGTCTGCCATTAGCCCCACCAAAGAGCCTGTGTAGGCTTCAGTGTTGGGTCGCCTCAAGCCAAACAACCAACAGGGAGGGAACCCAGCCCCACCTCTCAGCAGACAAGCTGATTGAAGTTTTACTGAGCTCTGCCCAACAGAGTAACACACAGCACTACCCACCACCAGGCCCTCCTATCAGGATGGTTGCACAAGCCTCATAGATAGCATCATCCACCAACAGAAGCAAGAAGAGCTACAATCCTGCAGCTTGTGGAACAAAAACCACATTCACAGAAACATAGACAAGATGAAAAGGCAGAGGGCTATGTACCAGATGAAGGAACAAGATAAAACCCTAGAAAAACAAGTAAATGAAGTGGAGATAGGTAACCTTCCAGTAAAAGGATTCAGAATAATGATAGTGAAGATGATCCAGGATCTTGGAAAAAGAATGAAGGCAAAGATCGAGAAGATGCAAGAAATGTTTAACAAAGACCAAGAAGAAATAGAGAACAAACACCTAGAAGAATTACAGAACAAGCAAACGGAGATGAACAATACAATAACTAAAATGAAAACTACATTGAAAGGAATCAATAGCAGAATAAC